CAGGTACATATTCATTTATCCCTGACGGTGGTTTTGTTGGCACAATATTCATTAATGCTCTCAGCAGTCTTCTAACAACTGTTGCCACAAACGTTACCTTAGAGGTAAAACCTTCTCAAATATCGACTGTTCTCGATGAAAAATACACAACATTGTATGAAACCGAAAAGTTTGATGATAACAGTTTAAAGATTCACATTGGTTCTGTTACCTATGATCAACAAAAAAGTGTCATTGTACCGATAATGAGTGATGCAACACAAGTGTCTTTTGCACTTCATTATACATCACCGCTCAAGAAAGAATCTACAAAAATTTCGGTTGAAAAAGGAACAGCAAACGTTAACGGGTTTTTGATTGATCACTATCGATTAGAATTCGTTAATACAGTGAGAACAGCAATGAATTTAATGAAAAGTGACAAGTTTGATAATGCTCAAAGCATAATAAAAACATTGGCGAAAGATATGAAATCATCAACGGTTGCCAAAGAGCCGTTTATCGTTGATTTGTTGAAAGATTTGGAAGGACAAGTTACCGAGGCAATATCAAAGAAGGAATGGTTTGAACGATGTAAGTATAAATCTTATCTAATTGGGTGAAAAATTTGTCTCATATATTCCTCTTTTCGTCTATTTTCTTGCAGAAAAGCACTTCTTGTTAAGTAAACTTCTTGTTTCTTACACCTTCGCTTAGAATACGACGACCTGATCAAAAAATTTCATTCAGTCGAAGTAACAGAAGTACATACTATCTTACCTCGAAGATCTTTATTTTTGAGAAAAGTCGTATTATTCTTCAGAGTTATAACATTTTAATTTTATAATCATGCGTTGCTTTGCCAGTTATCAAATTATTTTTAATAGAGTGTATGGTGAAGCAATGCTTTAAGAACAGAATAAGAAACTGTCAGATATAGAGTTAAGAATTCTGTGATCAAAATATAAATCCGTTTTTTTTAGTCTTGAATACCTGAGAGAACTAGTGTAATAGAATTGATATTTTTATCATATCTTAATCTTTGGAATGAAAATTTTCTAAAAATTGTATCTCTCTACCAATTCAAATAATGATTTGATTTTAGTTTTTAGGAACAGTCTTTCGAAATTCGCTACTCTTTATTAAAAAAACATCTAATATTTCTCTCTCATTTTTCAGGGGGAAAACTGTATTTACCGTCGCTTGCACGTGCTCATCTCATGCAAATTTGCAACAATTTCAAAGATCCAGGCGTTCAACATTATGGTGGTGAATTGTTTAATCGTCTCCGAGATGAGATTGAACAGATATTTATCGGTCTCCCTTCACCCAAACCATCAGCTCGTCCTGCAGCTGAACCTGTTCCAATGAATACCTATATGAACTATTCAGCAGGCTGCTTTCACGGTAATTGCATCGTGACTCTAAATAATGGTCAAACTAAATTACTCAACAAAATTCAACGAGGTGACATTTTAAGTGGTGGCGCTCGTGTTGTTTGTGTCGTTGAAACTTTGTGTAATAGTGAAACAGTTAGTATGATTAAATTTGACCAAAGCGGTCTCTTGATTACTCCTTGGCATCCTGTAAGAATCAACGGTACCTGGATTTTCCCAGATGATATTGGAAAAAGAATTGAAATAGAGTGTGAGTCGGTATTCAATTTAGTGTTGAATAGCGGACATATCGCCCTAATCAATGGTACTGAATGTGTGACACTCGGTCATGGTTTTAAAGAAGATGTAGTAGCACATGAATACTATGGTACAAAGAAGGTTTTAGATGATTTGCGTGAGTTTGATGGTTTTGATGAGGGTCACGTGATAGTCAAGCCTCAATGGATAAAACGAGATCAGAAGACGGGATTGGTGCGTGGAATGCAACGTGAAGAAATGGAGATTATAGTTTCACAATATTATCCGATAATTCAATCGACTTTCTAAATTTTCTATTTAGTTTTATACATAAATATTTTTCTGAATTAAAAACATTCAAGAATGGTCTTTGAAATGACCAGAAAGCATGTGTGATTAAACGATTTGAGAAAGCTGCAAAGTAATGCAGTTTTCATGTGGAAGACAGGATAAGGTACTAACGAGAAAGTGATAGGACTAAAAACAAGTAGTCATTAAACCCTTGTGGAATGAACTGCGTATAGAAGACAGAGCGCTATTCTTCGTTGGTAGCATATCGTCTAATAAGGTTTTATTTGTAAACCAGGAATCTGATCACAGATTTTACTAGGTATGCACCAGTATCGGTGTACCAAATACCGAAATAGCGAACTTCAATATATACCGACACCGAAAATACTGAATATTTTTTACTTGAAATTTTTTGGATTTTTTCATTTTACATCAGATAGTTTAGCGTCCTGGATAGGCAGAACGCATAAAAATACTCATCTGTGTATTCTGAGCATGTGCAGATAGTAAAAAAGGAAAAACTTTGGCTTCAGACAGAAAACAAAGCTCTTGTTTAGCGTCACTAATTTTTTCTGGGTGTCTAGGACGCTAAAACATCTCATTTCAAATGAAAAAAGTCCAAATCAAAGAAAATCGATATTTTCGATATGCTAAACAGTTTATTAATTTTGACCAAATCTAATGGCAATAAGTATTCGTGCAGAATGGCTTACTCGCAACGATCAACACCACTGGAGTATAATGCATCAATAAATCTTACACCTTTACTACACTAAAAATATCATTATCTGCACTTGAGTTGTTACTTTTGATACGAAGATTTCAGTAGAAATGAACAATATATTTCACATTCGATTAACTTGCAGTTCAGGCTACGATGATCCATATTTTTCTATCGAATTAAAAGTGTAAACTTTACTTTTATTTTAGGTTAACAAAATATATTCTTATTTTCACTAAAAAGATGTGTAGAATAAAGATAGATCGATTCACCTAGATATGATGCAGTCAAGGAAGAGAAATATATGAATGTGCTTAGATGTGACAAAAGCAAGGACATGCATAACATACTTTTGGAATCTCTAAAACTCAGCGTTTTCGATAACCTTTGACAAGATGGGGGAAGTTTTATGGAGCAACTCTAAAAATTTAGCTGATAACCAAAAAGAAAAAAAAGGCTTTTAACTTTTTGGAGCAATTTTTGTGTTCGTAGGAGTAATTTTTTTAAAATGACCGGAATAATTTTTTCATAACGAGAAAAGAAAATAAGAAGACGGCGCTTCTGCTTTTTTCTTCTTTGTTCTTTTGCATCACACGCGTGGAGATGCCCGCGCAAGCATATCATATGGGAAAACAGATATTTCCTTACTTTTTGACGCCTGAAATGGTGATACGATACATATCTTTAAATTATGTTTTTATACGACTCTTAGTATGTAACTGTATACAGCAAACATGTGCATGAAGAGCAAGCGCGATTTATGTGGGTTCAATTACTTACCGAAAATTTACTGACTGTCTAATCTCGATGAACAGTTTTGTCTCAACAACAAAAGAAGAGGCAATAGGTTTAGTGTTAGCGGTTTTGCTAACGATCCACAATTGAAATCGATTTTATTTCAGGTAATACTGGATAATTCAATGACAAAACCATTTTGTGAGATAAAAACGAGTACTGAGATCGAAATTTTGCTATCAATGGGTATGATATTTCGAGTTGGTTCAGTTGAAAAACATTCACACACAGTACCCTGCTGTCTGGAATGTAAAGTTAATTGAGATTAATGAAGTAGATACAGAAATGACAACATTAATGAAATGTTTGCAGTCGAAATTAGGTAGTGATACAAGTCCATTAATGAAATTGGGTATATTTTTAGCAGAAATGGGTGAATTAGATAAGGCAGAGCGATACTATCGCATGCTTTTGAATCAATTACCATCTGATCATGACAACGTTGCATGCATTCATAGCAAAATTGCTATACTATATTCACATCGAATGTAGCATGACAAAGCACTTGATAATCCTGATATAGCAGCAAAGCTTACTATCAAAAAAACTTATACAACAACAAAGGAACTTTTTCAATCATCAACACTAACGGTCGGTACATCTATTAGCAGAATCGCAGCTGACTTATCTTTAATTAAAACAAATATTAATAAAGCAGTTATTTACTTTCAACAAGCTAATTTTGATCAAGCATTATCTATATTCATGTTTGCCGCTGAACAATGTAAACAAGTCTACATATTGTATATTATTATTGATTTATACCAATATTTGTTAAAGGCACATAAACCGTACGTTGAATTATTACTCGAATACGAAACAGAAACCATAACAGTTTATCGTGGACAATTAATTAGTGAAGAAGAATTGAAAAATCTTAAGATGAATATCGACTGTCTAATCTCGATGAACAGTTTTGTGAATTTCTTAAAAGAAATTTGTTTTCTATTATTTTATCGTCCTTTTTCGCTGAAAACTCAGCATATATACTCCCGATTTCTGAGTCAGTTTCGAGAGAACCGAACTGGCTTTTTACAGATCGTTTGAAAAATCAATCTTCGAAATTTTTTCCAAATTTGGTTTTCCTTATGAAAACATAGTTTCAGATTTTGGTTAGCGAATGATGAAAACCCCAAGTATCTATCTCTTATTCCTTTTGAGTTATTCAAAATATAACCACCGACCTCGTATTTTGGCCCCGATGGTTCTTTATTCATAGAGCAGAGATTACAATTCCTCGAACACTGTTGATAAAAAAGAGAAAACCAAACTAACTTTTTTAATCTCAAATATGAAAACGTTTGTTTTACTCAGGTCAGGAAATTCGTTTTCGACAAAGTGAATGGCATTATTTCTTCACTCAAAAAACTAGACAGGTTCACAAGAGAGGCATGTATCATTTTCAATGGTCTGATTCCCAAAGCCAGGCTCAATCAAATTTTGAGTTTCATTTCAATTACACATGGTTTTTATATTCAGTTTTTAATGCTGAAACCGAAAAATATAGTTTAAAAGATGAGAAAGAACTCTGAATCGAAAAAATTTTGAACTTTTAGAAAATGAACGGTTTTCGAAGAAATGGATTCTTCAAGTATTCCAAATTTTCCGGCCGTAAAAATCTTTTTCAAAAGTTTAAGGTCCCTTTTCGTACTCAGCTCATCGCGCTCTATCCACCCATGTATGAATTAATGAGAATTTTTTTTACTTGAGGTTCGAATTGCAGGCTCCTTACTGATTTTTCAGACGAAAGAAGTTTTTTTTCTCAACCGGCCGCTCAAATTAATTTTCTTTTGACCGGTCGGTCTACTGGCCGATCAGAAATTTATGACCGATTACATCTCTGGTTCTATGTGTCATTTAGAACTTCTCGTAGTAGCAGAAAGTACCCTATAAGGTTACACACTATAGTAGAACTTTTTATACCCAAGATCTTGAGTTAAGAAATATCACAAAAAGTTGGAAAAAACACCAGAAAGTCAAGATTTTGAGTGAATCCACTCAGGATGTTGCATGATCTTAAGTGAAAAAGTTTTCTTTATATTTCAGAAATTTATATCAGCGTTAGCCAGCAGAATATACGACCGTACAGAATCATAGGCTCTTCCTTACACAACTATGGTTAAGAAAAAAAAATTCTAAGTTATTTTAAGTGTGAAAATATTCGTACTTATATTTACACAAGAGTGTAAAACAAAACGATGATTGAAGAATTTCCAAGATTTTAGGTACAAGATTCTTTTGCTTAGGATCTTAGTACAAGACGTCAACAAAATTCTTTAGATTCTTATGTTTTCTTACCAAGGGCATCAGTCAGGATCTCACTAAAAAATATCCAAGCAGTTCCACTAGGAGTACTTTATTGAGAACAAAATCGCAGATCATCGTACATCATTGACTGATACTGAATCAATGCGATGGAGTAGTAGTAAAGAATCGTTATTAAGTTAGAGATTGATTCTATGTCTACCAAATCCTCCTGGTAGTGATGTAGTTAGCCGTCTACGTCTGTAGTAATTGATTCGTTAAACAATTTACTCTTCCTATTTTAATTTTATTTGTAACGTTTTGATTACGATGTGATCTTCATCAGACAACGAAGTTCATTAAAGACACACTGATTATATATATATATGTATTAAAAATACCGTTCTCAGTGATTCTTTATCTTGTCTGTTCTTTCCGTATATGTTAGTGAGACGAACAAGACGCTGATACTAAACAAGGTAAATCACGATCTTTTCTCTTCATCGCGATCGAAAGTTTACAAATAAAATTAAAACGGGAAGAGTAAATTGTTTAACAAATTAATTCCTAATGATCTTCCTTAAAAGAAACCAATTTTGATAGGAATAATTCAAAATGATTGCCAGTATTCTGATTCTACTATTAATGTTGTCATGGGTGGTCCAGAAATAATAAACCTCGCAGTATTTTGACAATAACTTTTATTCTTTTCAATTCTCAGCCAATATTTATCTTCTGAAAGATGCGCCGTTTAGTTCTGCACAAAAATGCGTTAACTATTTTATTCCGGAACATATAAGTGAGAGACAACATGAAAAATACTAAAAAACTTCAAAGCCATGCACTTTCCAAGCAAGAAAACAGTTTTTGGTTTTATTCTTTTACTTTTTAAGACAGCGCCTGAAAAGGTCTATGTGTTAGCTATAACTGGACTTCTTTTACAGCGCAAGTGGTTACATGCGAATCGTTTTATCTTTAGTTGTTTTGACAGAATTGATCGTTTTGCACCACTAAAGTAAAATGGATACTTTGCTTGTAATTTTTGTTGCTAGAGAAACAAAAAAACGTGTACTTCGGTGCATCAGTTTATTTATCTCATTTGAAAGAAACTTCAAAAAATAAATTACTGTGCTCTCTCTCTAAGTCTCTCGAACTAGTATTATCACTAGTACTATTGGCGCCAGAAGTCAAGACATGCTGACGCAAGGAAACTTTCAGAGAAGACTTAAAAGGTGTCATATATTCTTGGTCAAGCCGAAAAAGTGGTCTAGCAGAACACTGAGGCTTTGAGGTTTTTCAAAAGATTTCTGGAAAACCTTAAACCAATGCCTAGCTGAAATTCACCACTGTCGTCTTCGATTGTGATTTATGAGCTCTCCTGAGCGTTTCCTGAAAATTTCCTTGAGTCAGCATAAGGTTTGACCGAGATATAAGGATTTTAATGTTTGCTAGTGATAGGCGAAAAAACGGTTTTTCACAAAAATGTTTCTGACGAAAGTTATTTTCATTTCTGTACAAAAACAAATATATTGCCACTATGCTCAGCGTAGTCGATTACCTATATTCCATGGCATTTCGAGATTCCTATCCCTGTCCGAACGACGATAGCTGGAGAGCTGGGATCTGCATACTTTTGTAGAGTAACGTCCGGATCATCTAAAAATTACTAACATTGTATGTTAGTTTTCTGGGAACGCAGCTGGTTTTTCAAAGATCCTCTAGAAAATCGGACTTCCAGAAAATTTTGAAACAAGTTTCTGCTTAGAAAAACATGTTTTAAGGTCTTAGCAACATGATGGTGAAAGCCGCATGTCTAGAAAATAAATTCTACTATCTCTTCATCATCGTGATTCATCCATTTTATTTAATTTTACAAAAGTGAAAAAGAAGAAGAAAACAAGAACAGCTAAAGACAAGAAAAACAAGACAGTCGAGAAAAAACTTAAGCTTGATTAATGAATAAAGTTTGATTACATGTGTAATGGATATGCTTCATATCCTTTACTTCGATCAACTGTGTGTTTTCCTTGCAACTCGGAAGCCATCTGTTCAACTTGTTGAAATGTTATGTCTATTGTTGGATCAATGGAGATTATGCCCTGGGCATATTGAGGATGAACCTGAAAAGAGAACAAAAGAAAGGTTGTATCTCTAAGAAAAGCTGAGCAGCAAACGCGTGGGTAAGAGCCCAGTTTATTTCATAATTTTCCTAGTTCGCTAATCAAACTCGCTCGGGCCACTGATCTCAGGGACATCAATATTTCGTTTCTGTAGAACTAAAAAAACCTAAAGAGTTTTATCCAAGGGGGAAACTACCTCGTAAAAGAGTGCACACACTTATAAGCGACAGTCACTTTAAGTGTCACTTTAAGTGCCACATTTATTTTTCTGGTTTGAACAAGATTTGAGCAGCAGTAATTGCTAAAGTTTCCTGGTTATGGGTAAGAAAGCGGAACTTATTTTGCCTTTTGCTACCTATAAATTACATAATATTGGATGTTCATGTTGCTTTATAAAAAGAAGGCTAGAGATGTATGGGATCTTTTCTCTCGTACACATTTTAACGCACATGCATGTGGTAGAGTTATTACCCTGGAGATCAAATCTTATATAGGATTCCTACAGGAATCTTATACAATATCTACAAGAATCTTATAGAAATCTTACAAAATCTTATATGGTCCAGTCTATAGAAATGCATACTGTGGTTATAAGATTCTTATGAAAGAAATTTATAAGATTTCTATAAGATTCTTACAGTCAAAAATAAAAAGAAAAAAAAACTTTTTTTTTGTTGTGCCTGGAGGACGAGTGCAAAGTTTTGAACTTTAAAATTTTTGAACATTTTTTATAAGACACTATAAGATTATAACTATCTTATAAAAAGATTATAAACTAAAATCTTGCGAAAATCTGATTTAATTCTTATAAGATTCTTATATTGCGAATTATAAGAACCTTATAATTACAGTATGCATTTCTATCGACTGTAGCATATAAGATTTTCGTAAGATTCCTATAAGATTCTTATCTGATTTCTCTACTTTCGGTCGACTAGGGTAGGCTGGCGCTGTTAGACCAATGCCTGATTAATATTCTTCCTTGATAATTGCCCTTGTTCAACTTTAAACGTTCGATTTTGTTTCAACTATTTTATTCTTCTCAAGTAAAATTATCAGAATTGTGTATGAAAAGAAAAGAGAGAAAACAGACGAAAGAATAAGATAGAGACTTTACTTGATGACGGTATTTCGAGTGAGCAGCATCCATAACTGAACGAACGATTAGTAATAGAGAAAGAGAAAGACTGTGATAAACCCATCGCCCGACTATACATAGTAAAATAACAACAGTAAAAAGAAAGAGAAAAATAACTATTGTCTTGTCATTAAACCGGCTGATCTATATTGAGAGAAATAGTCACGGTCTAAAAATAGTTTTCGGTTTTTTACTGACATTTGTAGATGCTTTCTAACTTTGTTCATTAAAATGATGAAAACAAACAGACTCGTATGACGCGGAACAGCCGCAGTCCATACATTGTATATTTCGGACCATATAGGGTTGAATTCTTGACTTTCCAGGAAGATGCGGAATTTGAAATGACACTTAATCACTTAAGTGACACTTCAGAACTTAAACACTTAAGATGGCACTTAACTCTGAGGTGCACACACTTAAAGGCACTTAAAGTGAGGTTTTTCCCCTTGATTTTATCTTTCTGCTCTATACGGCTGAGAAACGCTATGCTTTGCAATTATTCATGTTTCCTGAATAAGTTCTTTCTAAGAAAGTTACAAACAAGTTTCAGCTTAAACAGATTATGCAGACCAAGTTTAAAACCAGAAATAAACTACTATTGTCTCGAGTAAATGATCTAAGTCTTCAAGTTCGTTCAGATTATGTGTCATGCATAAAAAAGGTGAATATCTTGGCGTCGTTGTAATCGGTAAGTATAATGGAATGGAATGCTAGATCCCATGTCTTGGAAACATTCAAAAGAATCTTCGTTGCATCTTTTTAATGAAAAAAATCAAAGTTATTTTACAAAAGCTGTCATGACTGTTTTACCTGTGCCAAAACATTCCAAATACTCTTTTCCGTCGACTACACTCCAGATCCAGATGATTAAATATATCTCAATCAAGGTTTCTGGGAAAATATACCGAATTCTGGGGCCGCGGATCCCGAAAGCATCAGAGCTTGCGCTTACATTGTAAGTTGGCTTCAAGTTTTGTAACTTTAGGTAAAGGAAGGTTGACAACCCCAATTTGATGATTCTCCCAAAACTCGCATTTGTCCCGTTCCATAGAGTCGCCAATTCTCAGCTAAGAAACTAACTTTGAGGTTTAACAAGGCAACAAGTTCAGATTTTCGACGAGCTGAACTTAGAGGTTGTCAGTATCTACCAACAGTCAAACCACCGTACTTATTGACAAACGAAATCAAAGTTTTTCTTAACCTGTTCCCTTCGGTGGTATTCTTGGAGCTGGAATTTTAATAAAGTCTTTTGAACACATTTTGCTCTTACCTTATAGCAAGCGACCAAGAATCTCAATTTAACTTCTTGCCGCGAAACACTCTTGAACGCATGGGCAATGTTCATGTGCAGATGTTGGCGTTCTTCAGTGGATAAACCATTCAGATAGAAATGACGAGCCTAGAAGAAGAATAAACGAAGAATGTTGATTTCCGTTTGCCGACAAAAAACGTGTTAGGGTTAACAGTACTATACGGATTACAATTAGGCATGCACCAATACAATATATTGGGTTTTCACAATATTATTGCGTATTGCGTCGCAGGAGTTCAGCCTACTTTTACAGTACAGGCGCATGCTCTATATCCCGTTTGGAATCAAAATATAACCCAATTACGCATACACCGGTTTACAATCGATGTTAATGCATTCAGCAAAGTTGTTCCGAAGCAGTTATAAAAAAAGCACTTAGAGCTGTCGAATGTGTCATTATGTAGAAAACTGTCTGCTCTGCCAAAGCGAAGTGCCGGAAAAATTTTAATGTTATATATATATATATAGAGAAAATATGATAAATCGAAAACACACTATATTCGCATATCGATATCGATAGTCGATTATTTTTTCACAATTCTACTCAGTTTTGGGTGCATTATATTTCTGTCACATATAAGACTAAATTTTTCTGACACTTCAGTTTAGTAGAGCAGACAGTTTTCTACATTATGAGACATTCGGCAGCTCTATGTGCTTTTTTATAACTGATTCGAAACGACTTTGCTGAATGCCCTAACATCGATTATAAATCGGTGCATGCCTAATCCCGATGGCGATACATTTTTATATCTCAACTAAGATATTAATCCCGATTGAGATATGCTTCCTTACGTTATTATGAATGTAAATGATATTAAGGTTAAAAAGGTGAAATCCAGTATATTGTGGAACCCAATATTACCCAATATTATTGGGTGACCAATATCATTGGTCCCACTATATTAGATATATACAGTAATATAGGATCCGAATATTATTGGATACTCAATAATATTGTACAATATCTTCAATAATGATTGGTATTGGTGCATGCCTACTTACAATTATAATTCTCTATCCGAAAACAATAATTGTTTACAACAGTTTCGGAATTTCAATTCATTTTAATCGTTTCTCTAGTTACAAAAAGTTGACTTGTAATCAACTTCTATTTTCCATCATTGTTACATCTTTTTTGTGGTCCAGTTCCGATCTAATTAGTATTAATTAATTTTGTTTTGATATGGGTAAACATTTGAGAATGAATATGATAGAGTTAACAGCAGCTTTAAATCTTTTTATTGACATTTTGTTAATAGATATAACAATAATTGTTATATCTATTAACAAAATGTCAATAAAAAGATTTAAAGCTGCTGTTAACTCTATCATAATTAGTATTAGTTTGTTTTCTTTAACTTTTTCAAGTGATCAAATTCTTGAGAAAATAAAATATTAAAAATTTCCAATTCAAAATTGAGTGATGCAAATTGACAGCGTCTGAGTACGTACATCGCTTACAGAGGGAAGGAGAAGAAAAGACGCACAAGTGACTTTCAGGCAATGCGACATTTCATTGATCTTTATAAAAAACATTATTTTGTGATTGAAGTTTGAAATCTATTTCTACTACATTAATTCCATTCATAACTGATCAAATTCCTTTCACCGGTGAAAAGTGGAATCAGCCTATATAGACCGCTTTCTCCAGGGAAGACTTCGATTCCAGTTCTATCTACTTAGAATCCAGATTTGACCAGGAAATACCCGAATTTCAGTTTACCTATGTATAGCTGGATAGTACACATCGAGCTGACTAAGGTTAAGAAAATTAAAAAGTCGAGTGCTTTTATACATGGTTCGATAGACCTCGACGAGCTGAACAAGAATATGCGTGTTTTAACGTTCCGAAAAACTCTTCTGAGGATGCAAATTTCAAAAAGGTGAAATTTTTAGAACTTGAAAAAACAGCTTAATGTTAAAATACGAGCGCATATCTTTAACCCAGTGATTTTGGAGACTTTGAAAGTTTTTCATTCTTTATCTACGGGAAAACTGAATCTAAAAAATATCGTTTCGATACTACTTAAATATCATACGACCTAAATATTTTTGTTTTTTCACCAATACTGAAAATCCCCTTCTGTAGCTGCCAAAAGCTTCAAGTTCTTTTAGCTATGAGATGAAGCCAAAATGTTTACATCATTAGACTCACCACATCGGCATGAAAAAAAGTTAAGTATCGGTTTTGGAAAATATAACTTCGGTGTTGAGAAAAGTAACTTTTTTTGGAACACATCCCTAGTGAAAGTACACATACGATGAGTACGACTTTACTCATAATTCGTCCATGAGTACTCATATTGGTACTACTAACAATTTCTGAGTATTGTTACTCAGTGAGTACTCAGTTACTCATGTGAGTACTCAGGAAATATNTCACTGGTCTCTCTTTATATAGTCAGAGATAGACTTGTCTATGACTAGACTTGTGGTCCTACTCTGGCTACCTGAGATCACTTCTCTATATGAAAATATTGATGAACAATACTCATGAGTATTTTGCCGAAAGTGGTATGAGTACTCATCAATACCCAAGCACGAGTACTCAAAGTCGTACTTAGAGTGCTTGGTACTCACTCATGAGTACTCAGTGAGTAAAAAAATGTATGAGTACATATGAGTACTCGTCCGGTTTTTCTAGCAGAGTACTTTTTGAGTACTCACACTTGAGTACATTCACTAGGGATAGCAAAAAACAAGGAAATGTACTCGTTTTTTGCAGCTCTTGCCTTCAAACTTCTACTCTTTTGCAAAGCCAACGTCATCTTTGAAATCAGCGAGTGCATTTCCTTATTTTTTGCTATCAGTTTCAAAACAATTAATTTTCTCAACAACGAAACAATATTTTCCAAAGATACTTAACTCTTCAAATGTTCAAATAAGTGCTCAAAACGCATTTTGCTCTGATTTAACCGTTCGTTAAATCCCACGTTCGCAAAAGAGTTATGAAAATTTTCAGAAACTTTTAAAAAAAACCACGCAAGGTTTTTCAAAAATTCTTAATCAATTTCCACAAAGTTTCTTCTCGCTTCTAAATAGTTCATAATGAACAGTATCAGGTAAAACTTATTAACCAGTGTTTATGTAACATTTTTTGCCGAGAACTATGGTGTAAGATAGATTTCCACCCAAAATTCTTATATCCTTATCGTACTATAACCTGAAGAGAGAGAACGGTCGAACAATCCTTAAGGACTCTTTGATATTCTTCATCTGAAAATCGTTACCTGTTGATATTCCGCATCTGGATTAAGTTGAGTTTCATGTTTCGAATGTGATTGTCTGGCAAGCCATCCGTTAACAGCTTGTGGTACTTCATTGCAGCTCAGGTCGGGTCGGGCATGAGGTGGCATTGAAAATGAATTCGGATTATAATTAGGTTCAACTCCACCATTCGAATCCGTTCGCAGTTTGCCATCACGTGAAAGTGGGTGAAATTGTTTGGTCATAAATGGACAGTTAACCGGTATCTGATGGAAATTAACACCCAGACGATAAAGCTGAGCATCACGATACAAGAAACAACGAAACTGAAGAAGAGGATCTGGTGACGTTTCAATACCCGGAACGAGACTACCTAGAAAATACACAGAAACGAAACACATGTTATATAGACAGGAATGTAAGCGCTTTTAGTCAGAACAGCAGTTATTGGGAGGCCCTTCAGAAAATTCTTTGCTCTCCTTCTTCTAAAAGGAAGCTAGGACAAATCATCCAGTTTCGTATCTCTTTTAAAACAGAAGGGTTTCAAGAAAAAAGGGCACTTACTGTAAACCAACTTCGTTATCGAAAAGTTTCGAGCCTCGAGTTGCCTATGTATACAAAAGAAGTAGCTGTATGCTCGTCAATCGAAGCTGCGAAAGAAAGAGAGAACAAGCAGCATGTCAGAGAGCAATGCGGATAATTTGTAGGAAATCCGAATTGATCTGACCAAGTTGTTCTCTAGCATATGTATGTAGTATTTTTTTCATTATTAGTTCTACTGAAAGGAATGAGTATGCAGTAATGACTCCTTTCTGCGAAGTGTTCAGTATCTTTATGTAGTTCGTGCGTTGTAAATTTCGGATCGTGCTATCTGTCCTTCATAAAATTGATTTTGCTTCAAGACAATCTTCGCCGCGCCACAGACCGCGTAGTTATCACTATAAAGGAGCTCTTCTACAATTTTCCCTTTTTTCAAAAATACTTTATTATACTTTTATTAAATTATTGTTCTTGTTAACACGCTTCTTGTCTGACGAGAAAAGGTCCGCAAGTCTGCAATCGACATCGGTTTGTGCTGCTAGACCTCCGGAAACCGGGTTTCTCGAAAACCAGGTTTGCAGAAACTCTAAAAAGTAACCAAAACTTTTCTTAATGAAACCTCATTATACACCGCAAATTTCTGATTAAGATGAGATATCTCGCAGTTCTACACGACCTTTCTTTGCAAAGTTATAGAATTCACACGAAAAGCCCTATGTTCATTGTCAGCTCAAAGCTACAGAAATAAGTAGAAATTAATTTAGGGCTTTTCTTATAGATTCCATAACTTTGCAAAGAAAGGTCGTGTAGAGCTGGGAGATATCTCATTTTAATCAGAAATTTGCGGTCAACAATCATGCCTCATTAAGAAAGGTTTTGGTTACTTTTTAGAGTTTCTGAAAAGCTGGTTTTCCAAAAACCCAGTCTCCGGACGTCTAGCGGCATAAACCGATGTCAGATTCGGATTTAGCGCAGTCGATTACCTATTGTCCACTACAGTTCAAGGAAAAAGCGATTGTACACTTGGAGACCTTTTCTCGTGAGTACTATCCATTCTTCCGTGATCCTTTGAACTCAAGTCTATCACTTACCAGGACTGAAAGCGACTTGTTCAACATCTCGATGATAATTTTCTGGATTTCGATCCACTATAAATCTCCCAAATTCTCTCAATGGAAAATCTTCTTCCATCCATGCTTTTGTTGCATCAAACGGATCATATTTCGTAAATTTTCCCAATTCCTGTTCGGTAGCCATCTGAACGTAGCATTTCCATTCCGAGTTGCCGCCATTATCAATATGCTGCCACAAGTCACGTTTGGCATAATCCGGGTCTTCGCCCATCATACGAATGGCTTCGGGGTTCGAGAAATTCCTAATGCCCGTCGTGCACTTGAATACATAACGAACGTAAACATACTGACCCTGAGAATTGACCCACTTGAACGTGTGACAGGGATAAGCGTCCATATTACGCCAACCTGGAAACAAAAAACAGAAAGGTAAGAAATTGGGGTCTTATTTTGCAAACATTGTTACTTTTCGCGAAGGAAAGGGATTCGTAACATTTTAGGTCTCTGAAAGGAGAAGAATTCAAATTCTTCAAAAGCTTCTGCAGGGTACACCTGTGCCGAATTGCTTTAGTTTCCATTTCTTTTTTGACTGCTCGCTTTTTTAGGTTGAGGTCATGAGAGAGGCACTACACAGTACAAGTCAGATCTATGCCCAAAGCAGTTTCTGGGCATATGTAGCGGCGGGGGTGGGGGCCCGAAATGTTTCTTATACACTCTCACTTCTAATACAATGTAGGAAATGTGTGCAAAGAAATTTTCGTACCAGCTAGCGGTCTGTCTAACCGTACCAGCCAAAAAATGTAAGTGCGTAACGTTTTGTGAGGTTCATAGCTCTTCTGCTGAGTATTATGCCGAGTTAGGGAACGTCTTATTATTAGCTTAAAGATTTTTCTTTCAAATGGTAATTAAGCAAAGTCTAGCTCTAACCTAAACACCTGCCAATAATCTGCGTCAATAAGGCCTTTTCGTAGAAAGTGCCGTATGCTTAATTACCATTGAAAAGAAAAATCAAGCTACAGAATAAGACATTTCCCAACTCTGCATATTGCTCGGCTGATGGGCTATGAATTTCACAAAATGTTATGGATAAGCCCTTAGGAGCTGCGCGTACTGAACGAAACCAAATTCACTGGAAAAGAAACCAAAATTTGTCAGGAAAGTCTAGACTTCCGGCAGTCAGAATTACGATCTCTTGTCACGAAAATGTTCTTTATGAAGGTCAAGACTGTGAGTGATTTCTAAGCCAGTTCTTACCCGAGAACAAATGACTGCTAGACAATGCTTATTCCGAAAGCGCGCTTTATGAGGCGTAAAAAAGAGCTTTTGAAACGCCGCAGATAAACTGATCTTAAAGTATTGTGTTTCTATAGTGAGTTCTATAGTGTTTCTTGGGCTTTTTTACCTGTTCCTATACAAAAAAAGTCGAAAAAAATCATAAAAGATGAGCAGGCGAATCCTAGACCAAAGGAATACATAATCCTTTTCGAGCTACGGATTACGTTTTGTCAGAACGACTCGAACAGTCTTCAAAACGGGCTTTTTTCGCTCGGTCTCGGCGACGTTTTCTTTGGGTAAAAGTATATGTATGCCATAACATGCAAATTCAAAACCTCTACTGCTCTTGAAACTCCACAGTAATTAACTTCTCCGAAGGAGCAGTTAGTTTCAACCTACCAACTGGTGTACCATGATCCGACCAGAACCATGTATTAGCCAACATTGACTCAGGTACCAGTGACATGAAATCAAAAACGGCATCGAAATTAACTCGAAAATTATGTGGATTTCGCTGTTGAGATCGAATGACGTCCGGCCCTTGTGTCGGATCACGAACGAAAAACGCTGGAAAATTAACACACAATACATCATAATTTCCATCGTCCGTATAAAATTTCAATGCCAAACCACGTGGATTACGAGCCGAATCTGAAACACAGAAAGGCAGAAGATAGAACAGACAGTGCAGAGAAACAGTAGAAAAAAGACGAGAGAACGTGAACAGTAGTTTCAAGCCTAATTAGACTTTTTGAATGAGCTTTGTTAAAGAAATAGAATGTTTAACGCGGTTTTCAGGATAAGAAAACTATCTTTCCGACCAAAAAGGCGTCTTTGGACGAAAGTCTGAAAAGTGAAACCTGTACATAGACGGATTCCTAATAGCTTGAAATATAGCTAGAAATTCCTCGAAAATTTAGAAGTGCTTAACAATACCAATTACTACTCCTACCCAAAACAAAATTTTAGCAAGCGGAGCTTTCAGGAATCCTCTAGAATCTTTGCATACTTTCAAGAGAAACTTTTCTGTGTAAAAATGCGCGAAACTTTTATCCGAACTGAAGCGAAGTGTTTTCTGCGTTATTTGGATTTACTACAGTCTTAAGATGCAGAGAGATGGGTTTCGAAACGGTTTCTCCTCAAAAACCATCATATTTTTATTGGAAAATTCGCACGAAAATATGGAAACTTCCGGGCCTAAACTGGAATAGTTCTACATGGAACAAAGTAGGCCAAGTCCCGAATACCTCTTAGCTCCTCTTTACATTATTTTTGGAAAGATGCACATAACTAGAAAAAAAACGTGAGCACGTTGAAGCATTCTGTAAAGCCTGCTACTTCTTGGAAGATAAAGCACCAGAGGTCAAACTCAGATCGCTTACCAGGGAATTCGCGTCCGTATGTGACAGTTGAAAATCGACACAGAATCGGTGTTTGTTTTCCAACTTCACTCAAGAACGTTGCTTTGCAATATGGAGTCATGTCTTGCGTACATTCGAAATAGCCAAACGCCCCTGAACCACACGCATGAACTGCTCGTTCGACGATTTTCGATCGATTGAATGTTTGCTGTTTTTCCATCAGAATTCCATCCGAAACTACTGGATAACCATTTATGTTCAGGCAGTGCAATGCATCACCAATTCGGTAGCCGTTAACGGAGGTCATCGTCGGAGCCACTGAATATGAGCTACCTAAAATTAGAAAGACAACACGCGTTTCCTAAGAGACAATTTAATATAAACTAAAGAAAGAGTTAAAGAACCAATAGAAAAAAAATAGAAAGCTCATCATAAGCTGTTCTTAGGCTAGACCTTGAGCTGCATGGAAGGGGTATCCACCCATTTAGCCTTCCTTTAAACTTTGCCAGTGTGTAGAGCACACTTTGAAACATACATTCTGAAGTTTTATCGTCTTACGAGCACTGGCTTGCTGAAATGGTCGAAAATCAGAGCAAAATTCTAACAGTGGAACTGTTTTTAAAGAAATTCTTGCGAATTTTCTTTACTATTAAAACGCTGATTTTTGTCTGGATCGATAGAGAAATGGCTGGAGAACTCTCAC